TGTAGGGAAAACAGTGAAGGCAAAAGATAGTGCACTGGCAGTGTACTTGGCAGGAAAAGGTAACCAGAAGTACAAAAATAAAACCCCCAGATTCTGGAGTTGACATATTTATAGTCACGTCCTGGCTGTATTACAGTTGTGCGTGACCTTGGGTAAATGATCCAATTCCTTTGTACTTAATACTCTTAACTGAAACCCAGCATATTTTATTTGTCTATTTAAACTATAAAGTGTCTTCTATTGTATAAAAATCCAGTACAAGGCAAAAATCAAACCCAGCCTCTATTAGCACTTACAAAAAGAAGACAAAGTGTTTAAAGTGTAAATGTAGCAATGAAAAATAAAATAACATCAGTTTATCTACTCTGCTCTTGTGAGACCCCCACACAAGGGGGCTGGAGCACCTCCCATATGAAGACAGGCTGAGAAAGTTGGGGCTGTTCAGCCTGGAGAAGAGAAGGCTGCGTGGAGACCTCATAGCAGCCTTCCAGTATCTGAAGGGGGCCTACAAGGATGTTGGGGAGGGACTCTTCATCAGGGACTGTAGCGATAGGACAAGGGGTAATGAGTTTTAACTTAAACAGGGGAAGTTGAGGTTAGATATGAGGAAGAAGTTCTTTACCGTGAGGGTGGTGAGGCACTGGAACTGGTTGCCCAAAGAAGTGGTAAATGCTTCATCCCTGGCAGTGTTCAAGGCCAGGCTGGACAGAGCCTTGGGCAACATGGTCTAATGTGAGGCATCCCTGCCGACTGCAGGGGGGTTGGAACTAGATGATCTTAAGGTCCTTTCCAACCCAAACCATTCTATGATTCTATGATTCTATATGCACTTGGTAGTTGGTTTTTGGGGTTATAATTCTGCCTGCATATTCCCAGTAAGTTACCATGGCTCATTTTTACCTAGTTATATTCTTTTTCTACTGTGAAAATACAGTATTTATGTTGCTTCTGCCTTTTGCCCACTGGTAATGCAGCAGGATACATTAAATAAGGCATTAACTGAATGAAGGAAGGATGTTTCCAGTATTTTGGGATGAATTTGGGAGAAATATATCTTGCAAACCTAATATGCTACTAGTGAACAGGTCTCAGGCTGCAGATCCACTGAGCACAGAGCAGTTACAAGTCTGTTACAGAGCTGTAGCTCTTTAATTCAGGCAGTAACATTTTACAATTCATTCTGTCAAGGGCACTTCCAGCACCTTTAAGTTGCTCAAGTTCAGAGCTTGCGTGTAGACCATAAATTGCAAATCATTATGCTGATAATTGCTTATGTGAGTTTAGTATTGGGCCACATCATAAGCATGTGGAACACATGGAAAATATATAAAATACAGCATTAATGTAATACTATGACTATGTTGCATTACTTGCTACTCAATTTTAGACTAACATTTGATTTTATGCATCTGTTTCAATAGATGCCTATGGGAGCTTTGAAAATAAAAAATTGATTCTCAGAAGTTCCACTGAAGGATGGTTATTGGCTAAAATCCATTTCTTTTGCTCTATATTGTCTATTCTCTCTGTTTCTTGTGGCCTTTTCAGACAGGTTTTTTTCAGTTGATACTATTATTTGCTGTAACATATTTTATTTTTTTGTCTTTGTTTTTTGGCTCTGCAGTTCTGTGCAACACTTGGAACCACACCTTGCTGCTCCTTTGACAAACTGTTAGAACTGGGTCCTATCTGTAAGTCTTCGCTGCTACTTTCTAAAATTGCAGATACCAGTTAAAGCCACGCTGAGTCATTTCCAGGGCATTGTGCAGCATCAGTGTCCAAATTCAATAAGGGTCCTTAGAGATGAGACCTTCAGTTACAGTTTTCTTTCTAATATTAGGTCAAGCAGCAAGCTTGATTTCTCAAACTGTTAAGGAGTACAGAGGACATTGCCTCAAGGGTTTCTTGGGTGGAGGGGGGAGTATTTTGGAACACTAAGTTAAAAATTACTGTAAGTGCTTCAGTTTGTTACATTTGTCTTCATGTCCTTCTACCTGCAAGTGCATCTAGAGCAGTGGTCAAGAACATGGAAAAGCTGAATTCTAATTATTCTTTGCACCAAGTGTTTTGCTTCTGTCTGGTTCTAATGACTATAAGAAGCAGGGAAATATGCACCAAAATTCCATGTATATTCTCTGTAATCCTCCCTCTCCCTTCCCCAATTTCTTTCTCAATAGAATAGGACAAGTGCCAAGCTGTTTACTACTGTGATCGAGTCATGGACTCCACATAAATATTTCTGTGCTATGGTTTGTTGTGTCAAGCTTTGATCTGCAGCAAGGCTTGGACAAAAGCACACGCTTGCTGCCTGATGAAAATGCAACAGAAGCGCACCATATCTATTCAAATGTGCATTTAGAGCAGCAAATTTATAGCTATAAGCAACTGGAAGCACCCTCATAGAAACGTAGCTAGATTTGATGTTCTGTTAATTTATTCAGGTAGGGCCCAAAACATTTTGGGTTTGTGCGGTGGTGACTTGCTCTGTGAGGTTTCCTGCCTTCCAACTCAAGGCCCACAGATGCAGTTTCTCCCAAACCTCCTTTCTACAAAGGTTTCTAGTACTGCTTAGCAGCTAGAAATTATTTTGCTGTTCAGGTTACTCCTATAGACCTGACCTAATAAAATAGTGGCATCAATACTTTTAGGTATAGCAGCTAATCACGTGTGTTTTACCCATTGCTCTCAATGATTCCCTCCTTGAGCAGCAGAGACCAGCAGAAAGATTGCACACTACTCAAATCGTAATCATAGAATCATAGAATAGTTAGGGTTGGAAAGGACCTTAAGGTCATCTAGTTCCAATCCCCCTGCCATGGGCAGGGACACCACACACTAAACTGTGTCGCCCAAGGCTCTGTCCAGCCTGGCCTTGAACACCGCCAGGGGTGGAGCATTCACAACTTCCTTGGGCAACCCATTCCAGTGCCTCACCACCCTCACTGTGAAGAACTTCTGCCTTATATCTAATCTAAACTTCCCCTGTTTAAGTTAAAACCCATTACACCTTGTCCTACCACTAGAGTCCCTAATGAAGAGTCCCTCCCCAGCATCCTTGTAGGCCCCCTTCAGATATTCTACTCATGCTAGCTTTTCTGTGTGCGGGTGGATTTTCTTCTTAATATACATGAGCAGTAGTCTATGAAATAAAGCAGTGCCTCAAACCAAGGATGTTTAAAAATACATAATCAGTTAACGTTGAACATGTTTTCAAATAAACCTAAGTTGTGGATGTTATGAATAACATTTCATTAGCTTTTTCCAGATTTTCATGCAAAAAGAAAATGTAGTTCACAAGAATGCACATTCCAGCATGAACTTGGTGCTCAATTGCAGATCTGAGTTGATATACCTCTGTATGTGAAAATACCCATCAGAATTATTTGATGACCAGTGTAAAGACATGTGGGCTTTGGTCATCAACTTACAGACCAGAATTCTTACCATGTGCATTAATAGAGGTGATCTGTAGCGGAGAGTGAATATTAAATTACAGAGGAGGCATAAGAGGCTTATATGCTAAAATATTTCTGCAGAAACCATTCAGTGACTAATCAAAAGTAGTACTTCCTCAACCTTTCGGTCCTCACTTTTGCATGTCTCGGTCCTTGAAATAAATAGTTGCTGCAGGTAGTTCAAAAGCATGCACATGCACGTATATCAATGCAGAAAATATACTGTTTACAAAGATGTGTTTGTGATTCATGAGTTAGAAACTGGGAGCATAGCTTGCTAAAGTAGATAGTTTTAATGCTATAGAAAGGAAAACTACATCTCTAGATACATATTTTTAAAGTCCATTTTATAATGGTTCTTAGATAAAATTGTTTAATATTTTATGTTGTTTAATAAGATAAACCTAGACATGACAGGACTCTGTTCCCGTAGAAGTGTGGAGGAAGAAGAATATGTTACGTATACATCTTTATGTATTAACAGAAGCCCAGATGGTAGAAACGTTTAATCTCTTAATTCAATTTTAAATTGGGAAAATAATAACAACAAAGAAAAATCTCTCAGGCACTTGGCTCATGCAAATGAATAGGGCTTTTTAATCTGCTGTTTAATTTATTTCCCCTTCAATTACTTTTTTTTTTTTTTTAGGTAATAAGGAAAATATCTGGATGCATATTGATGCAGCCTATGCTGGGAGTGCATTCATCTGCCCTGAATTCAGGCATCTTTTAAATGGAGTGGAGGTGAATGAAGTGTTTCTTCTCTAGCAGCCTGCTAAAATCTTGCTCTTCCATAGAATTTGTGTGTTTCTTAGGCATCCCACATTAATGGCTCTTCTAGAATCTCTGAGTACACTGCACTTCATTTTGCACTACAAAACCCTGTATGTTCAATTACATTGCTTATGTTTATGTAGTTCTTGCTGCTTTATTCCGGGAATATGCTAGTTACCGCAGTGTATCATTCAGAATAACAAGTAGTAGTGAATTAACGAAGTGTTTTACAAAATAGAAAAGAGGAACTTTTCCCCAAATATCCAAAAAGGCGCATTTATAACATTACACAAAATGGAAAAAAGAAAGAAAAAAGAAAGGATATGTCTGATTTTTAGCTTACATCCTGAAAGTCATACAGGATACAGCCAGTAGCTGTATCTAAACCAGACAGGGTTTAATAACCAGGAGAACTAAATGAAATATTCCCCCAACAGCACTCCTGTTCCTTTTTCCCCCCTTGCTGAGCTAGTTGGCATTCAGTTGCTTAGATAAGAATACTTCAATTTCCTGCTGCCTCCCTCAGACAGTCAGATAAGTCCTTGTCTTCCATGTCAGTGGAGAAAATATTAGTTTGGTAAAGCCAGAAGTTTAAACACAGCACTGATAGGTAGTGACTAATGAAGAAGAGGAGGGAAAACCCCCTCACAAATAAAACATTTCTTTCTGTCTCTTCTTTTATCAGCAAATGAAGCTTGTTATAATTTCCTGTGGGGGAATATATTTTAAATTATTGTTATTGGTTCCTGAAGGAAATGAAACAGCATCCGTTGTCTGGGACAGCATTTGTCATAAGAGTAAATATTTAACAACCATGAACAGCTTTCCTATCTTACACAGTACAGGGAGATAGCTAGATAGATATATAGATAGACAGAGAGACAGACAATCTTCTCTTATTAGAGCAATCATTAATTGTTTACAAATGACAGGGAAGGTTATGAGAACAGAAAAGTGCTATATGGAGTAGTCAGACCCTAGTACTGCCAGGCCCCCATCTCTTTTTTAAGGCAGATGGTTTCTGCCTTTGTTAAAACACAAAACACTGACAAAGCTTTTCCTACATGATGACCATTTTACCTATCTGGGTTTTCCCTGACACTATGCTTAAGCATACACCATGTAAAACACGCCTGTTACATGATGTACAAATATGTATTTTGAATGCTTATTCTGTGTTGGTTTTTCTTTTGACTTGGATAAAAATGACTTCTACTAAAAGAAAATACCCTGGCAGTAAAAAAAAAAAAAAAAAAGTAATTTCCTGTTCAGTTTTAATTTTATGGATGCATGTGATAGGCAGATTCTGAACTAAATGTATCGTTTATCTTTATATATGAATTCTGTGTGTATATGTTTAATATTCTTGGAAATAGAAAGCTTAGTGAAATGTTATTGAAAATTGACATACGAACCACAGTGGGTGTTCCTGAGTATGCAGATAGGTTTTTCAGTTTACACTGATCTATATACTTTTCCATAATATATATATCTGAAATGTATAATTGTTCGCAAATGCTCAAAATGTTGATAATACCAATAGCCTAGCTGCACACCTAACCTGAATTCCATCCCCAAAATAAATGAAGGTTTAGCTGCAATAGTTAGTAAGTAAGGTGACACATCAGCATGAACATTATCTATAAAGACCGAATCCAGGAATTCATTCATAGTTAAGGTGTACTCAGACAATTTGACAAAGTTGTATCATTAGCACATGGATCCTTTTCTCTTTCATAATTCTAGCTTTTTATTTATCTATTCTCAGTTTGCAGATTCATTTAACTTTAATCCTCATAAATGGCTCCTAGTGAATTTTGATTGCTCTGCTATGTGGTAAGTATTACAGTAAAAGGAAACATTGCAAGAGACAAAAAAATCACACATTAAATTAGTCTGCCTTTCTAGCAGTAAACATTCATTTACATTTCTCTATTGAAATGAGGAATTCTGGATAGCTTTGTCTCCAGTAAATTATTTACAAAATTCACTTTTTTAATATAAGTTTGAAAAAAGTAAAATTTTGAAATAAGCCTGAGCTCTACATTATATTCCCATGAGAAATCCTGAAAAGTGTGCAGGTTCATACTTGCTCCATTTTGGGACTGTTTAAAACATACATGAAAAAACTTCATTTAAGGCTGTTAGTGCAATGAACAGCATGCTAAACAGAGCTTTTTCTTATTTTCTATAAAATTTATTTTTGTTTGAGCCTTGATTCTTTCAAATGCTTTCTTAAATGCTTGGGATTTGGCTGATTTCAAAAAAGACTATTTATGCAATTTTGCACTGAATTTCAATTTCCCCAGATGACAGCAGAGACAACATTTTGATATAAAAAGATGCCAAAGTAGAAACCCATAGACATACTTTGAAACAAAGCAAAGGATCATAGCAGTAACAAAAACATCCCATAGAAGATGAGTCCATTGTGTCCCAATGTGGAATCTCCAGAACCTAGTGCCTACCAGCATCATGACTTATGATACTTCTTAACAAAACGGCTATTCAGTAAATGCAGACTATTTATCAAAATAAATGAAAACATTAATTTCAGATATAATAGAACAAAATTTGCAAAAATTAAAAAAAAAAGAAAGAAAAAAATGAACATTAGAAAGAAGACTTTCAAACCTCATCCGTAAGAAGGTCACCTTGTTTAAAAGAATAAATGTGAGACAATGATCACTCAGTTGCCTTTGGTTCACCCTTGGCTCTTTTAATATCCTCAGCAAAGTTGACTTTTCCACAGGTATGCAGATCATTCAGATTCCTGAATTTTCTGACATTTTCTGCTTCAGTAGTTTTCCTGACGTGGGCACTTCAGATATTCCAGGGCATTATGCTGGGTTTCTTTTTTTCTTTTTTTTTTTTTCCCTTAGAACAAATGGCTTCCATTTTGATCCTGTTTTACCTGGCTGTCCAGGAAAACAACGTATATGCGATCATTGTCTGTCAGTTTATGTTCCCATCTCAGGCATTTTTAGCTTCTTCCTAGAAAAGCTTACACTTCAGACTTAGAAAAGTCTTTTTCTACATTCTGCTTTTTGCTTTTTGCTTTTTCTTAGGTAAGCCATTGCATAAAATGCTTGTTTTCGTAGGTAGAAAGATTCCATTACAAGGAATCTCAAGAGACCTTGCAACATGTCTCCTTACTCAAAGCGAAAACTTCACGACTACAGCCATTCAGGTTTCATTTCAGCAAGACACTTATGTATAGGTGTTATTCACTTAAGAATGAAGTATACATTTACAGTTAAACTCTTTGACTTGAAGCCAAATCCATCATCCAACTACTTCTAAAGCCTTTGTCCCAAATTCACCTCTCTTACCAATACTGCCAGAAAAGGCGAAATGTGATAATAAAGGATGAAGGAAGCTATGAGGAAAAATAACTATGAAGGATACGTAATCCTTTTAAGATGCACAAGAAATTTAAACCATGATATTGTAACAGTAATAATTTGGAAAGGATTCAGTAAACAGTGAACACCATTTCAGAATTAAATTAAGCTGAGTTCCATTGACAGTCAGGCTTCTAAATCACACAGGCTTCTCAGCACTTCTCCCAGTAAACACTCCAGTTTCTTTTCCCTGCAAGTTGATGAAGATAATCTGGACATTAGATCTGTAATGTAATTATTTAACTACTCAGTGCAATATGTAGCACTGATGTTATTTGGGATTTGGAGGCAATTTCATTATAAACCTTTTGTAAAATACTCTCAGGCTTCTCAATGTACAGAAAACAGCAGTCAATTTCCAACATAAAGGAACTGAATACAGCCACTTCAAGAGGGCTATATTTTTCATATTCAAATGTTAGGGTCCTTTGGAGACTTTGCCCTGAAACTACCAGTAAGTTTTGCCTGACTTGTTTAATTGGAACTCTGGAATATTATAAAATAGGAAGAAATTGGTTTTGTTGGTTTTTTTTCAGAGAGAGAAAATAATAGTGTTTCCTGATATTTTTGCCTTTCTTTCAGATTTTAAGTGTTAACTTTTGTTTGGGAAGGTTATTTTAGTATTTGAAGGAAGGTACTTAAAGAAAATGCTTATCTGTAGGTGGAACTGAAATTTTCTTGTTGGTTTATAAAATGAAGTCGTATTTTTGGTTCTTGTAGCTATCATTTAAAAAGCACAGAATAGAGTGAGAATAGAATAGAACAGAGGTTGTTGAAAGCTGCAGATGTACAATTCAAGTAAGTAACTTCTCAGAGATTTTCACTGCTTTTATTCGCTAGGACTTCTGCTGTGCACTTTGTACTATGAGTACTTAATACGTGAATCTTTGCGACTCAAGTTAGATCTTAATAATCTATTAGCATAGCATCAAGCTTTTAAAAAAATCTAGGTTATCATAGACATTTTTGAAATATATATTCACGATCCTTCAGTCAACCAGGGGTATTTGCAAAGAAAGTTAAGAACACCATATCTGTCCATTGCCAGACCACACAAGCACTTACTGCAAAGAAGTTTAAATACATAGAATTTGTGAAATTTAGACATGGTGTATAGAGGTGCAACTTAACTGGTTCATATACATTGATGTCCAGGCTTCGGATTTATTTTAGTAATCCTTTTAGACAGTTTTTCATGGTTGCCAGATTAAGACCTGTGAAGTCCCCAGATGGAACAGACACCATCTTTTAAAATAGCAGTAACATCACCAAGGAAGTCCAAGATGGCAGCATTTTTATATCTTCTAAGCTAGATGTTCCTGCAAAGTAGTTATCTGTTCCATTTAACACAGCATTTACAGGGGAAGAAATGAAGCTCTCACAAGACAATGGATGTTACTGCTTGTAACTCAGGTTAGTTGCATACAGAATGAACACTACTGAAACATGAATATGTCAAAGTAATCAAATATATCAAATAAACTAGAGTAGAACAACTTAGGGTTTGTTAAAAATATTTACTGTAATTAAACCTGCTTTCAGTCAATAGTTTTTTCCGTCTGTCTACAGGACATTTCCAGACACAAATAACTTACTGTTTTTATTGAGAGCATTCTGAACATCTTTTACTGTTTTTCACATGCATAAACTTACTTATCTTCAGCTATGTACTTTCCATACCTGAAGGCAAACACATAACTGTTAATCTTTGTGCTTTCCTAACCATTAGTGAGAGGAAGGCTTTTTGTTTGTTTGAATAAGAAGTTTTATAAACACAGTGTCTAGATGTGGATGAGAGTGGGATTATGTTTTGGCCTGTGCATTTGTACATATACACTAAAATACTGGAAATGACATTTTTACTTAGACATTTACAGTTTTACATTAAAACCCAGGAAGAGATACACAGAAAATCATAAAAGGTTTAGACTTTTGTCATTTAGAGTGTCTGCATATTGACATAATTATTGCTTACTTTGTAATATATTTATAGGCCTAATATAATGTTGTTGCAGTCTTTCCCTTTTTGATTTCTGGTTTCTTCTTCTGCCCCTGTAAACCCCAACATTTGTGGACGTGAGTCAGTCTTACATATAGAGCGAAGCATAAACCAGGAAAATCTTGTTACTACCCACTGGCAAAACACAGCTTATTCTCTCTAAAAGGGACACATTGGCTTTTGAACCTCAGTCCAGTCACACTAGCTGGCAGTTGTAAGGTATGGTTCTCAGTTTTACATTGTGCCGTAGTGTGTTTGTCAGTAATTGTATATTGGATCCAGCTAAGGGAATGGTGGTGTAAGAGGGAAGCCCGAGTCTGGACTGGTAGCTCATCCCTACCAATTGCTACCACTGCAGCATGGAGAGCCAGGGGCCAGCATCCGCAAAGCCTCAGCACGACTGTGCACGGTGTCTAGGAAGCCACAGCTCTTCCCACACAGCTTTGTACTGCAGTAATTTCAAGGCAACTTCTGTTGACTGCAAACATTAGCATTGCTTCAGCTAGTCTCACATTCTGGTGTGAGTGTCTATCACCATAAAAAGATCCTCTGTGTCTGTTTCTTGTCTGTTTTTAAATATGCAATCGTGCAGTCATGCTGCCCGTTCCTGCTGAGCCTTACACTTAACTACTTGTAAGTACAGTACTGATATGGCTGTGAAAAAGCACTGAAAATGGCACAGGCTGTGCTCAGGAAATGCGCCAGTTTAAACATATTCAGTTTGCCTTCACTTCGTGCGGAAATTTAATCCCTTCAATTCTAATTCTTGAATTTCTGAATTTGATGTCTTTCTTTTTTTATACAGGGTGAAGAAAAGATCAGATTTAACAGGTGCCTTTAAATTAGAACCTCTGTACCTGCAGCATCACCATCAGGAGTCTGGTAACTTTATAATTAAATGAGATTATTATTATTTTGTTTTCATATTGATATTTAATAGGAAGAAGGATTTAAGATGAAAACTGAAATTCTTGAGACTCCCTATGTTGTTTAGGAGCCTGTCTCCATTTTCAGAGTGTCCTGGGGAGTTAAGCTTGTTAAAGTGCAAACACATGTCTAGTGAGATTTTAGTTAGTATAAAAAGCAATTGAGGGAAAGCCATTTTATAAAGCATTATATTAATACTTTTATACTGGGATTTCCCCAACTCCAGACTTACCACTGACTCTTTGTAGGAGTGTTGAGAAATTTATTAATGATCATTTGGCAGTCAGATATTATTGGGTGCTGTGTATTGAGTCCCTTAACTTGCCTTCCCCAACATAGCTTTCTCCAGAATGATTTCAAGATCTGATTTGGTTTTAAAGTTTCTATAGTCTATGACCTTTTTTCGTAGCTATGAGTGCAAGCTCTGATTCAGTTTCAAAAACCCATGTCAGGAGCAAACACTTCTTGAAAACACAGAGAAGGGGTGAACTATGTTTGATATCTGTGCTCTATTTTGAGTGATATTATCCTACCATGTTCTTTGATTGATTGTAGAGGAGGCAGTAAGTGCAGGCTATCTATCTTGTAGAAAATGCTCAAGAAAGCTTGTCACAAAACACTTACAGAGAACTTACAAATCTTAGGCCCTGTGCAAAGCTTCTTAATGAATTAGTGCTGCTCCTTGCACATGCCTAGCAACTGCAGATTGGAATTTGCCATCCTGACTCACATTTTTACACATTCAGTTATTAACTAATTAATTGTGAAGAAGGTCCCAACAGTGCAGCATCAACATGTGGTGCAAGTTCCCTCATAACTTTCTCAAGAGGGTAAGTCACATGTGGATGTTCTTACCATTTACTCTATCTCATATTTTTCCTGGGATTGCTGGTGCTGATCTGTGTTCAGAAGTGTATCCTGAGGACTTTTATCTTCTCTCTGTTATGTCTATGAACTCATCGACATTTAAATTAAAACCATCCAGAATTCCACCATTCCCTAAAAAGCCCTAGGAAAAATGGATTCCTGTGCCTTAATTCTGAACTGGCAGAAGTTTTGCATTTATTCCTTTTCTACATTTCCGAGCAAGGCAGTGCAATAAACAGGAAAATGCAGTAACTCTGGAGCTGAGTTTCACTCTCCAAAGGCTAGAAATGTTAAGAAAAGATACTTTTTTTTTTCCTTTTTAAATGAAAAATAGAAGTTATAGAAAATACACTTAAGTCACTAGCTTTTATTTAACATACGTGAAAAATGCCTCAGGAAAAAAAATCCAACCTTAACTAAACTGAAAGTACGTTCTTGTGACAAGTGGCAATGCTGATACAAGAACCTTGGATCTTCCACATGGTAAATAACACCAGAAGAAAATCAAACCTTTCTTAAAACTAGGTGCTTTCAGTGGGGCCACCTTTCAGTTGATGTGAAAACTTTATCTGCTCAGTTGGATAAAAAGTTGTTCAGCCTTTGTCTTGCCTGCAGGAACTGTGATAGCACGGAATGTGATCTGGACACAATGATTTCAAAGACATCAACTGATTACTAGCAGTCTAGTGACGCTAAATTTTTCTATGCTCTATTCCCATTTGATATTTCCAAAGAGCTGGACAATACTTTTAAAATGCAAATGCCTGTAGTTAAACTGTTAAACCCAATCCACAGCTATGTCTTCAATAAACGCAGTCAAATCTGCAAAGGTGCTGTTACAGTCCCTATTGATCCCTATGGGATTTATGGCATGTCAGCATATGAAAATATGACTTGTCTCATGGAGGGTCTTATTTTTTGAGTATGTCTCAGGTCTGAGAATTCCTATAATGGTTTATAAGGCAAATCAAGTAGTATTTTTGAATTTGCTTGTCTCTCACTCAAGAATTTAAATGAGCGGAAAAATATCTCTATCTGTGAGCAATTACTCTTAATAACCATATGGCAATTATGTGTGCCCCCAAGGGGAAAGTCTTTATTTTGTCATTAATTATAATTTTGTGTGATTTGCATCATCACACCAGGAAGATTGTACTAGCTTGCCTGGCAACCCAGGATATAGGTCAAATCTTAATGGCAGTGTTAGAAGAATGCAGCTTTATACTCTATTGTGAATGCCACGTATGCTCCCACAATGCTACTCCTCCTGGTTAAATACAGATGTAAGACTAAGGCTTGTAATCAAGGACTAATCATTGATTGCATTCTGCTTCACAGCTTGTGAAAGGCGTTGTTGTGGATCATTAGACGTAGCCCCTTTCAGAAGCGTAGGATTATTTATCTGTCACCAGTTGCTTTACTCTCTTTTCTACCAGTCTTGCAGCTATCAAACAAAAATGGCTGCTACAATGCAGAAGAATATGAACGTTATTAAATTACCTCGTTACTGAGCTGACACAACCATATTCATTATCTGAAGTCCAGGAATCAGTTAATGTTTGTTGGTTGTTGCGGGTTTGTTTTTTTTTTTTATCTGGCAAATAACCTACAACAGGTTAAAGAACCAAATGGCTTTATGTCACAGGGAGGAAACACCATGTTTTTTCCTATGTTTTGGCTGCATAGATGAGAAAACATTTACAAGAGAGCTTGTAACACAGGAAATACAGAAATACAGCCCTTTTTTTTTAACTCCTAGAAAATATAAAGGCTGAGAATTGTGTAAATGACATAGACTGGACAAATTCAGAAGCTACAGTTCTATATAGAACTTTTGGGGTTCATAATTCCAGGAGCACTTAGACAGCACTTTCCCATGGAATTTAGGTAAATACTTTCATATGAGGCTTCTACTCCACTGCAGAGTAATAAAGCAGAATAAGATAGCTAAGCAGATGCTTCTACATTTTCCTAAAGAAATGCTTTAAATTTTATGTCAGTTTAATTTCTGTCGCTGTCTTATTGAAAGTAATCCAGTTTTATGTTACAATTTACTGTGAAGTCAGTTTAATTACCTCATTCAAAGAAAAGGTAGGTGCAACTTCTGTCTGTGTGCTTATGTAAAATATAACTAATAATGCCCTCTATTTGCCTCCCTGGACTGCTTTGTGGCTTGGTCAATCAGTGTTTGTAAGGGGCCTCTAGTACATCAAATGAGAAGCCATAAAAAAATGCAGAATATTAGTCTGCAAGCAGGAAGAGGTCAATTCTGAGTCATTTTTTCCAGTCACTTATTAGACATGCTGAAGAACAAATATATGAATGAGTTTAAAAGGCAGTTAGAAGTGGATTATTTTTAAAAGTGTTAACAGTTCGCTAGGGCAAAGGTGATGACATTTCACAGCAGAAAATGAGTGATGAAGTGGGTTTGGGGATTCTGCAAACTGTTTAAAACAAAATCAGTAATAGCCGGTTCTTTTACTACTTCTTTTCCTTATGAAAAGAAAACAAACACAGTCCATCATCTCCCCAGTATCTGTGGTATAACACAAAGGAAAATTGTGTTTCTTGTCTTATAAACTGTTTAATTTGCTAGTAGTATATTCTGACTTGCTAAGGAATGAAGCTTATTACAAGCACCTTCATCCAGCATGCTGCCTACTGTGTCCTACTAGATATTTAGTGGCCCTGATGATGCTGAAGCTTGTAGCAAATATAGAGGATAGCTAAGATACAGCTTTTTCAAGAACATTAGAATGAATGGTGTCTTTGTGTGTTGTGGTGAAGCAATATGAACATTTTTTCTTTAATTTCTAGGCCTTGTAACAGATTATCGGGTAAGTACAGCATCAATGTAATAACACTATTAGTCATATATACTGCTATTTTCAGGACTTCTATTTTCCATTACTATCATAAACCTTATTTACTATCAAAACCTTACATTTATTTCCACAAGTGCAGCTTGATAAGTTTTTAATGTTCCTCAAGCTGAAACTTTAAACCTTATTTTTGAACTCTGTTTGAAGGCAGAAAACACTTTGCATGTACAATATCTCAAGGTTTGGGCAGCAGAAAGAAAGGTCCTAAATGGCTGTGGGTTTTTGCTTACTATGATGAATAACACATTTAAAAAAAATGCAGAAGTGTTTTAATCCTTCACTAATAGAAACATTGTTGCTTTGAAACGGAAAATGGGCCCCTGTCATTGAGATGCTAGCCCCACAGCTGTAAACAAGCCAATGTACACTTCTAAGATAGATATTCTTCTAAAGCTTTTGGGGAGAATTCAGGATGAACAAAGGAAATCCGATTTGCCTTTTGACCCTTCAATTCTGACACCAACGTCCTTTTCCAATTTTAATTTTAAGATTTTGAGTATTAAACAGTAACCCCAGGGCATTAACTGGGAATAGACTTTGACGCACCTCTACCAACTGCCTGTAAGACGTGGCAATGTGTTATGCTTCAAAATCATTGTAGAATGTACGGTTTCTGCAGTGCCACTGTAGTGGTGACTTCTAATGTGGGTGCCCTCCCTTCTCCCTGGTTGCAGCACTGGCAAATCCCCTTGGGCAGGAGGTTTCGCTCCCTGAAGCTCTGGTTCGTGCTGAGGATGTATGGGGTCACGGGACTGCAGGAGCACATCCGCAAGGTGACTGGAATTTGGTTTCTTGGGTAACCTGTGGTGGGATGGCAAGGGAATATGAGCTGGCTACCTACCTACTTTCCATGACTTATGGACACATCAGGAAGCATAGGCAACCGCTTTTAGACAGCTCAGATCAACAGGGTGCTGCTCGCTTGCCCCATGTAGTGTCACAATTTCATATCTTGGCAGGTTAAAACTCATCCGTTTTGTATTAATCTTTAGGGAAGACAAGCCTAGGAGTTTGGAATTTCTACAATGTGGGACCGTAGTTCCCTTTCAAATTAAGCCAGAACACATCCATAGTTTTATTGCAGAAAAGCATATTTATTCATTATGTCTTTATTTTATTAATGTGCACGCCATGCATTGATAGCATGTTTAGATTATGACTAAGGGATACAGTAACTTACTGGGCATGTCTACCTCTGCTCCTTGTTTCCTGTTTAAAATATATCTTTTTAGGGAAAAAAAAAAAAGAAAAGAAAAAAACCCACATGTGCAATTTACAGTTTGTTAAGATTGCTGTAAGTACTAAGTTTATTCTTGATGTAAAAAGAAGGGGTTTTTTATCACTAAAACCCACATCTGGCGCCAGTCTGAATTACATATATATTTCCTCTGCAGCAGTAAAGTCAAATTCAAGCATACCTTTCATCTTTATGAAGTTTAGGGAAACTTCTATTGAGGGGAGATCCATGGCTTGGCTCTAAATATTTACAAAAATATCCATTAGCTAAGGGTCTGGTCTAGTATAGCAAACTCCCTGCAGACACACATTCCTTTCTATTGTGGTACTAAACAGATTAATTCCTGAGAAAGGCTTTTTCCTCTGTTGTAAAATCACTGTATGGGGAAGTCTCTTTAGATTTGGAAAGGTTCCAGGATGGAGGGTACCCGGTTTGCTTCTCATTTTTATCACATTATAATTTTCAACTGGCTCTACAAATATCAAAATTAGGTTTTTATCCTTAATGAGGCTTTCAGAACTAGAGTTTGACAACAGTGGCGATCTTGATGTTCTGTCATCCTTGTGGCAATCTGACATATATCCTTTTGATGAAAAATTGATGCAAGGTTTGTTAGCACTTTACTAGGCTGCCACTGCAGTTTCTAGTGGATTCTCTCTCAGGTTAGATTTCTGGAGACTGCAATTATTTCAGTATGATGCCAAGTCTTATAAGTAGGGCTAAATCTCTCCCTGGGAGAACAGAAGGTTGGAAGCCTCGTATCAATTACATGGCCTTTTATCAGGCTGGTTTCCATGGGTCAGTATTTACATTCAGTAAGTTCCCTGTCTCCCAGACATTTCCCTGACTGTCCAGCCAAAAAGTGCTTGTCTTCCTATAATGATAGCTGAAGAACAGGTTTTTGTATGTTCTGTGACAACACAGTTCAGGAAGGCAGAGAAAACCAGTCTTTTTCTGAAATAAAGCCCTAATATGTTCCCTCATTTGCAACAGTAACTCAGACAGGTAGGTTTCCAAGGGCTTGTTGAATTCAGTGTGCATGTTTAATATTTCATTAAGGATTAATTGTTCTCTGGTATACAGAGAAAAATAAGTTAATTGTTCTCTGGTATACAGAGAAAAATAAGTTAGGACCTTATATTTGCAACTTTCAAAGGGCAAGAGAGGTAATTAAGTGCAGAATTTGGCTCACTGTATACAGCTGTCAAACTGAAACCATTAAGTAAGTTTCTCCTCCCCACCCCTCTCTCTCCCCAGATTAATACTTATTCAGTTCAGTGGGTTCCAGAGCAGCTCTTTCTTTTTTCTTAAAAAAGTAACTTCTATCTCCAGCAATTCTCTGTTTAACCTGAGTTTCAAGAAATACTTGCATTCGATTTGCTCCCTGCTCTAGCAGAGTTTAAAATCTCTCTGGAGTTTGCAGACATGTTGGTAAAGTTATATCAGTAGCTGCAAAATAACAATTATAAATAAATGTGTTTCTCATCTTGCACATTTCCCTCTCTTCTCAAGAATATTGTGGGTTGCAGATAGATTGTGATGACTTTTCTTTTGGCAGTGTGGTAATGAAGTATGTGAACCAGCCTGATGCTGCTTTATATTTCCAAACCTATAGACAAGTTTCCAAATAAAAAATAATTTGGAATTTAACTTCACTTGTTAACTGCACTTTAACATCGCTTATCCCAGTGCTTGGCCTTGGAAAGTTGCTTTCTTTTAAATATGTTGTAGCATCTTGCAAGTAACAGCTTTTATATTCCCATTGTGGGCAAAGGCAGTCTTTGAAAAGAATAGCTGGTACTGTATCTAGTGTACTTGGGACTCTAGCTGTATTTTAAGGAAACTCATGTAGTTGCCAGAATTATTTCCAAAGGGGCATTTTCTTACAGTGGGTGATGGAGTGGCCATAGGTAGAATAAGAGACCTAGGAGCAGTGGCAGAAGCAGGTATTGCAACCCTCAAGTGGAGGGCAGAGAGACTGGAGCTGGGGAAGTGGGAAGAATTGCGCTCTCTCTGTTGCATTATTAAGGAATTGCCCCAGTGAAAGGGCCATAGAGTCAGGCAGAAGAGTGGAGGTTTGAAACAGCATTTTGGGCTGGAACCTGGGGAAGGGGCTGCTTACATCTGGGATGTAGCATGCAGTCGTACACCACATAGATCTCATACATCAACATACCTTTGTGTGAGACATATTGTTCCAGTCCACACTATACGATAGTAACTAAAGCATGCCTGTTCAGATACAGGCCTGGGCCTTACTGAGAGATTTGGGACCTAGGGTTTCAGTTCTGTTCCGAGTTTATGAAATTCACAAAAAAGACACTTCAGCTCCTAAGTCACAGAAAACTGTAGGAAGACTTACCCAGTGTTTTTAAACTTTGAGTTAGGCTTCTTTTGCAGTGCCAGGTGTTACTTACAAAGTGATTTGAGATTTTCAATAGTGATGAACTTCTGACATGACATAGAGGGGAAAAATACTGCGTAACCTCAAGAAGCCACCCTATTTGCTGTGCGATGAACAAGATTCCATATGGAGGACCAAAGATATCTGCAATTATCTGTTTACAAACTTTTTTTCTGGATGTAAACTGCACAAAACTCCTATTTGTCTCTCTTTTTAAAAATTTAATCTTTTACTAGTATGTTTTAAGAAAGAGAAGTTTGTTATGTTTGCAGCCTTAAGGACTGCATCAAAACAATGTGATTACCACTGCAACCTGGCATTTGCTTGTACTGAGGAACGCATTTGGGAACTAAAATACTCCTGGGAGATGAGAATGTGTGACTTGGATTTAGATACAGTTACTTTTTTTGTTTTCCAACCCTTCCAGTTATGCTCTTTTTTCCCACACAACTTATTGCAAAGTATAGGTCTTAAAGCAGTGGTAAAGGGGAGGACAGTCATTTCTGAAGGATGTGGGGAGAAAAAAATACAAATTTTGTAGGTAAATCCCAAAGCCACAGAGGACATGTACAAAGAGGGCAAACCCAACAACGTCTTCTGGACTAATTCCAAACACTCAGGGTCAGTATAATGTGAAACCCAAATGGTCCATTTGTAAATGGCCCATTTGCAAACTGCTTGACCAGCCATTACTACTTTGTTGCCTTAAGTCCTCTCAAAGAGCTCAGAAGTCATTTAAGAAATTTAGCAGTTAGTGGTTTTGTATGTGATCCCTATGAACATTCCAACTCAGATGAATCCTCCATAGGACCAGAAGTCAGTGCACTATGTCCTTCTTTCTTTGCTGAGGATAATGGATTCCATTAAAAATTAACAGCAGAGACCAGGAAACTGTACAGAACACCAATGCAGAGATAGTGTTTCAGCTGGGGACCGGCATAGTCCAAGTGGCTGTTGAGAAGGCTCTTGATAGCATTTTCCTTCTGAATGTAGTGGGATGAAAGAGAAGGCTAGGCAGGTATGCTGATCTGCACAAGCATATTAATGTACTCTGACACTTCAGGGAAGCTTCCTTCAATCAAAAACTACTTTAGTTTGTGAAGGCTTTGCCCAAAAATCAAAATCAATTTTATATACCTCAATGCAGAATAAGTTACAGTTATATTCACACATATAAATACATATACACAGATTTTTTTAAGTAGGGACCACATCTTAATGCCTTGTAAGTTTACTGTTCCTATTAGTGATTATGTAAGACATTTCCCTTAATCCTGAATGACCAAATTAATTAGGTCCCTTTCTTGTTTCCCTTCTTACTGCAGAAGAGCAATGGTATCTCAGGTATCACCTGAGATAGTGATACACAAAAATTCCTTACAAGCTTCTTTTCTTCAATCTGCTAAATTTCACTGTGAAGAGAAGGGCTGGTATTCTGTTCCAATATACCAAGACTTTTGAGGCCACTAACACAGTCCTTGTGATTCCACTTTGGGAACCCACAGGATAGAAAGATTGTCTTACTAGAAACAGTATGGGAGTCGGTTTGTGAAGGCAGGTGTGACACTTAAAAGCCCCTCTTACAGTGTTTGAACTTCCAGGCTTATGATGTTTAACTTTATTGGGTTTAATTATTTTTTCCTTGCAACAATCTTTGTAAAAGCAATTCAGGATAACAGCTTACTGGTCAGAGGTGCGGGGCCTTCAGTAATTGCGTTAAGCAAAGTTTGCCCAGGGAAGTGGTGGAGTCAGCATTCCTGGAAGTCTTTGAAAGACACATAGATGTGGCACTTAGGGTCATGGTTCAATGGTGGGGTCGGCAGGGTTAACGGTTAGAGGTGATGATCTTAAGGGTCATTTCCAGCCTAAATAATTCTATGAGTCTATACAGGGGAAACATCAGTTAAATCCCCACTTTCTCTCCTTCAGGTTCTGTAAAATCTAAAAGACTTGGTGCCCCCCAGTGGCTTTACAAATTATTGCTACTTGTTAAGACGGTGGCTAAAACTACTTGCATCAAGACATGACTCCAAAATACTTCCAGAATTTTGATTTGTGTTTTACTGAATATTGTCTATTTTTCCTTGCTTTTATTTCTTTTAAAATCCTGAAAAATTCTTTGGTGCCAAAAGTGGACCTGCTACAAAATGTACAGCGTGGGTCTGGAGTTTTCTTTTACAAACTACTTGCAGGAAGCCAAATCTTCAATTTTTGTTTTTTTCCGTTCCTACCCAGGTAAATTTCGATTAAATTCAGTTGGTGATTACATTCAGATGAACAGTTGTGAAATTCTCATCTCATTAAACATGAGGTTTTTTTATGTCTTTGATTTCCAAGACGTAGTGTATGCAGCGTGAAATTTTGCAGAACTGTGTAACAGACACCGGTTTGGTTAAGGCTATAGAACATGAGGATAGGAGGAGACAGTAAAAGATCATTGTAACACGTATGCATATTTCACATACTTTTCCATGCACATATGCATACAAGCATCTGTATGTATACACATACTTCTGGTCACTTTTCACAGCTGTAAACTCATGCTGTTTATATTAGCAGAACATTCAAATGCCTTGGAAAGGATAGGCCATTTTATTGGTCTCATTCCTGGCTCGAAGAGCTTTCAGTCTAATTTTAGAGGGAGATGATAAATGGATGTAACAAACAGCAGGGAGGAAGTGGTAACAACAGTAACATTGGCTGGTTGCATAGAGTACCAGTATGCTCAGTATACGATTTTGAAGCAAGGTTTTGATTCAACATAAACAATGTTTTTCTATTTTAAGAACTATGCGAGCATCACAATGCTATGATTAAGAGTGCAAAATGTGTTTGGCTTTGTCCTTTCTTTCTTCCTTTCTTTCTTCCTTTCTTTTTCTTTCTCTCTCTCTTTCTCTCTTTCTTCCTCGCTTCCTTTATTACTTTTTTTCCTGTAATTTCTGTTTTTGCCTTGTTCTTGCCCTTTTGCAAAAAGTTCCTGTGAGCTGAAACATTTCACATCTAACCCTGGCCCAAAGTGAAATGTTTCATTTTTGTTTGATATCTGTCCTTGAACTTGAAAAAAGGCAAAGTGCAAAAGCAGGAAAAGACATGTGCTTCATTGTTTATTTTTCCAAAATTATTTGCTGTCATAAATGTAGAAAAGCTAAGGAACTTTTAAACATCATTTCAGGTGTTCCGATAATTTTTGGTGTAGACTGGCTGTTGCATAAAGACGAACTGTAATGCTAATAGCTGGTTGCTGTTATTTTATTATTATTCTTTCTTTTAGCATAGTGAGCACAAAGCTGATGACAGCCAGAGAGAAGGGGACTGGGTAAGGTTCTGCAGGTACCTGTTGAGGATAGGGGATCTTTCTTTCCAAGTGCTTTTGTATGAATTTTCTGTTTGGAAGAAAGCAAAACGTGGTATGAGAATGCAAGCATCACTGAGTGAGTGTTAAAACTTCTCAGTTGGCTGTTAATATGCCTGTTAGTATTTTTTCCTATTTGTTTGATTTTGGAAGAGCACTGGTTTCTTATGCTTCAAAATAATTACTCTGGCTTCATGTTCAATGTCACTCTTTATTCCCCAGTAGTTGTAAACAGATTGGCTGAAATTTGCTATCTATTTTCTTGCTTATACTGCCATCACCTTTCTTTTCAACTGAATCGGAGCACCCAGGTGAGAAGAGCGAGCAAGTTCTCCCTTTCCTCACAGTTATTCTCATGTTAAGTGAACTACTCTAAAAAGTGTCTCTTTCCAGCTTACTTTGCACTGGAATTTTGATCATTTTCTCTCTGTATGTCTGTATATCTCTCCCTCTGCCCATAATAACTTTTGGACTCTTTAGACATTCCCAGACAAAACTAACAGTGGTAGAAAACCTAAAGAAAAATTATTATGATTATTTACTATTAATATGGTATCATATAAAACTGTGCCGAAATGTCTCCTTAAGAAACTGACTAGTACTGCCTAAGGTAGACTGAGCTAGTGATATAGTAACGGCTCAATATGGTCTCTGGAAGTCATAAATGGGACGTAAGTTAACATAAACAGATGGCAACATGTGAATATTATCATATATGAGGAGAATGAAGAGAGAAAAGGGATGGAAACAATTTAGCACATCTTTTCTCTTGATGAATCAAATGTCTACAGTGTAGATACTGTCTTTCTCTTCTCAGCATGTCAGGCTGTCGCATCAATTTGAACATTTAGTCCGTCAGGATGAAAGATTTGAGATCTGTGCTGAAGTTATCTTGGGACTAGTCTGTTTTCGGCTGAAGGTAAGAAAGCTGAGACCTATTTCTTCTGTAGTTTTTTATAGCAATAAAGTAACCTCAATCAAATATAATCTTTGTAGTTAATACACTTAATTATTTTTTAAAGAAAGTAAAGGAAGTTTGTGTAGGTCAAAGCACATTAAAGAAAGAAGCTTAAGACAATTTCGTTAAAAATTAATCAAATGCTTAACAGAAATTCAAGCATATTAGAGTATGGAAGTATACAGTCAAGGCGAACAAATGGTCTACACAGTCATACAAAATGACCATTATGTTCTATGTTTGAAGGGCTTTGATGAAGAGGATTGTTTTAAGGTATTTCCCAAGACATTTGGATATGATATGTGAGTGTATGTGTGTGTATTACATTTTCTTGTTAAGTTAATTTTATGTGTGTATATTTAATGTTCTTGAAAAAAAATCGTATCTATATAAAAAATTACTATAATGGATGAAGATTAGAGTAGTAAACACTTTTTTGGGGGGATTTTTTGTTTTGTTTTGTTTGGATTTTTTTTAAGAATACACTTTCATTTATAAAATCTTACAGCCAGACTGGGCAAATTGGAGCCAGGCACAAGTAAGAGCAGGTTGCATGGGAAGCCAGCTTCCCAGATGCTCTTGGCTGTTTCTTTCTTTGTGCTGAACATGATCCTTTTGCCCTTCTTGGCCTTTCATTCCCCAGAATCTCTGTAAAAGCCATGTTCATTTATGTAGAGACCTTACCCAATAGAAACCTGAAAACTCACTCTGCACTCAGAGCATAAGAGCTGCAGTAGTTGGGAGGGCTCACTTGTTCAATCAGGCATTAAAAAGGGATCTTATTTTAGGTAAAAAACACATTTAGTAGAGGAGCTTGCAACTAAAGCCTCTGTAAAGGACTGGGTTGTGACACTGAATCTGAACACCAAGCAATAATAATAACAGCACTGGTGTTTTCAAGTTCACGTGATACCTCAGTGAGCTTATTGCTTCTCTGAAGGCTCACGAGCACATCTTGGCTCCTTCTGGCCTGTGTGGTATTCCTACTTTTCACCAATTCTTTTCTCAGTCATACAGTTGCCACAGTTACCTGAGCTTGATGCAGTTGGCTGAAGAAGCCAACAGATCTTTAATAATAAGGTAATGGTGAATTCATCTGGAATAGGTGTCGTGGTTTAAGCCCAGCCGGCAACTTGGAACCACGCAGCCGCTCGCTCACTCCCCCCCCTTTTTCTTCCTCCCCCCGCTCCCGGAGGGATGGGGAGGAGAATCGGAGGAATGTAACTCCCACGAGTTGAGATAACAGCTCTCCAGTAACTAAGGTATAATACAAACCACTACTGCTACCAATAATAATGATAAGAGGAATAACAAGGGAAAAGGACACAACCGCTCACCACCCGCCGACCGATACCCAGCCCGACCCGAGCAGCAATCTGGGCCTTCCGGGTAACTCCCCCCAGTTTCTATACTGGGCATGACGTGCTGTGGTATGGAATACCCCTTTGGCCAGTTTGGGTCAGGTGTCCTGCCTCTGCTTCCTCCTGGCTTCCCCTCCTCTCTGGCAAAGCATGAGACTGAGAAAGTCCTTGGTCAGAGGAAACATTACTGAGCAACAACTAAAAACATCGGTGTTATCAGCATTGTTCCCAGACTGAAAGTCAAAAACACAGCACTGCACCAGCTACTAAGAACGAGAAAAAATGACTGCTGTAGCTGAACCCAGGACAATAGGAAAATGGTTTTGTCTGAATTTATGTTGTTTAAAATGAAAAGAAAAAAGCCCCATCTCTTGCTAGAGAATCAGAGAGATTACAGAACAGAACATGGAGTTTTCCCAGTATGAGGAAACATGAATATAATTTCTTTCCTAACAGGAACTTTTAAAAGATTTTGAGGAATAGGTTCTGTTGCTTTTGTTGCTCAATAACAAGATGTTGGTTGTAGTCTGCTCTCTCACATGGAACAACAAACACTAATTTTGCAGATGCAGAGACAGCTGTTAGTCAGTGCTCTGCATTTACTTTAAAGGAACAGTCCTGGTGAAATAGAGCATAGCAACACAGGAATTGTCACTTTTGATCAGACCAGTAGTTCTTCTACATTTGTTGTCCTGTCCCTGATGATCCAGAGGAAAAAATCAGATCTATAGGGAACAGTTTTACAATAGGAGGTAAATACTGGGCGCCTTGCTAAGAAACTTTTGGACAAGGTGCAGAATAAAGGCATGATTATTCTGCTGAAAATCAATGTTGAAACAGCAGTGTTTTCATTGCTTGCCTTCCCAGTCCAAAAAAAAACAAAATAACAAGCTTTTAAATGAAGTTATAGTTACTTTTTGCAGCTTTATTTGCTTTTTAAATCACTCTTTAAAAAATGTTCCTGTGATTTCTGTAATTTATTTTAAAATGCATCTTCATCTTAGAAGTAGGATACTTGTAACTTTTATGTATTACAGTAGGACTAAGAACTGTAATGCTGCACAGCTGGAGAAGTATGAAATGTTTTCTCTTCCTTTGTTCTGGAGAAACCTGTTCTTGTTTTCTTTTTCTTTTTTTCTTAGCTGTAACTGTGATTTTTTTGCCTTTCACACTGTTGCACAGATGCACTAATAATCTGACTTTACAACCATTTCATCAAATGTATCATGCCAAAGGGTTAATTTTTGGCCTCCTTGTCAAGTGTGCAGATGAATACAAGTCAAGCTAGTCATTTCTCTAAGGGAGTGAGAATACTGTCTTATTGAAGCTGACAGACTCAATCAGAGCTGGCTTCTCAAAGCTCTGGGAGAGGATTAGTCACTACTAACTTCAATTTGACGTGACAGCCGAGTGTCAGAGCAGCCCCTAGGTGCAGCTGTGAGAGTAGAACAGAAGAAAGATATATAAATCTCTCTCCTGCCTCCCCTCACCCCTGCCAAAGGCATGAACCCAACATCATATAACTGCCTGTATTGCCTAAAAGTTAGTGCTGCACATATTATATTAAAGGCAAAGATCATAATTTTAATGATGGAATACCTTTGGTAAGAAAACAGGATATCATTGTCACCAGTGACATACCCATAATGGGTGGGGACTTGCAAAACACCAAAGTTGGTCCTTTTCTTAGTTAGGAACATTCCAGTTGCATGAATATCTCCTAGAAGATTAAGGCGAAGCTATGAATTTCAGGCACTCATCCAAATTCCCTGACAACTTGTGCTAAGGCAGAACAAGGTTTTGACTTGGGTTCAGCTCTAATATGATCCAAAACCATGACAATAATACATTTATCCTCAGTGCCAATGGGAAACTGTGTCTGCCTTATGCTTTGGTTTTATATGGAAAAGACTAAGCAGGCAAGTCATAACTGCATAGATTTGAGAGAACATGTTTTCTGATACAGATGCTTTCAAGATGACCTGTGCTACAGCAGGAACAAAACTGCTGCAGAAGAGATGGATTTGTCCAGTTGTTACTCTTCTACTGCAGTCAGTGTTCAGTAAGGGAAATCTGTGGTAAAAGCACAGGTGCTCCCGGCATCTCCTGCAATTTTGTGTTACCAGCAGTGTAATGGAAAGAGTAAAGGCTGTACAATAGCTGAGATGCTTCCACAAATAATAAAATTATAGCATTCAAGATTAACATGGTATATCCTAAGCTATTACAGCTAACTGCCCAGCAGAGCTGAAGCCATCTCTCGGTCTGCTAATATAGAAGTTATACAGATGGGTTTCTTTATTTTAGGTAACAAAGACTGTCAAAGATATGCAGCTAGCACTTCATCCTGTGTTGCTGAATCAGGCAAAAATACCAAGATTTTTGAGATCCCTTCTTTCATTGTTTTCATTTAAAGTGATTTACAACTGGTTTTGAAAATCTGATGACATCTTTAGTTTTATTTTCAAATGCTGACAGACACGAACTAGGAAAACCAATGATTCAACATTGGCTGAAGTGCAAAAAAGCCAGCACTCCTCTGTACAGTCCTATTTCTTTTGAGATTTGATATTAAAAGCATACAGCTGCTCTAAAAGAAATCCTCACATTCACTGTTTGAGCACAAGGAGAATGAAGCACACTAGAAGGAGATAAAATCCAGTACTGATGCAGAGTCCCTCTGACCTTCTGCAAGATATTTAACATTCATATCTTTGATTCCTGGCATGCAGAAGACTCTTTACTTCCAGTGGGAGGGTCAGTTTACCACATTTCTAAGATCTACTGCCCCTCAAAACCCTCTCTCTGTAGGTTTCTGTGGTGGACACTTCCTACAGAAGTTGAGGCAAATACTTTCTTAGGGTTTCTACTGATAGTATGAAACTTACTTATGCCAGGGATACATTACTGTAACTATTTCCTAATTAAGGGCAGGATTTCAATCTTCATATTGAAATGACTCTCTCACAGCAGCCATGCTAAAGTGAAAACTAGAGGGTTTGCTTTATGAATGTTCGTATAGCTCATTGCAAAACTTCCTCCCATGTTTGTTTGATTAGATCTAAGTGGAGTCAAATAGATGTAATAATGAATGCTTTTACAGGAAGGTACAGAGCTCACGACCTTAGGTCACAAAAAAGCAGTCAGCTATCACAAATGCCCTGGTGTGAACACTGCTTCTAAACCCCAGTTAATCCATAAAGCTCTTGTGGCTGAAAAAATATCTCTTGCGCCATCATCTTTTTGTGACCCTTTGACGGCAAACCACTGAGAGACGAGAAAGTGGCTGCTTGTTACTGGTGGTACTTGGGCTTGGCTGGTTGGTGGGATTTACATGTTCCAAACTTGCTTCTGAAACTCATCACCATATCCACTGAATTACAATGATTTCAGGGCTCAAATGAACTAAATGAGGCACTTCTTAAAAGCATAAATGCGGCCAAGAAGATTCATCTGGTCCCGTGCCACCTGCGAGAGAAGTTTGTGCTACGTTTCGCTATTTGTTCCCGCACGGTGGAATCCACCCACATCAAGTTTGCCTGGCAGCACATCTCACAGCTGGCAACTGATCTTCTGAAAACATGGGAACAAAACCACCACCAGCAGAAACAGCAGTGAAGTAGCAGTGGGGAGGAGGTAATTAACTGGCTTTCTCTGTGTGGCCAAGTTTTATTTTAGGGGCAGGTGGGAAAGTCAGGATATGAAGGGAAAAAAAAGAAACCAAAGCCTGTTGTTATATAGCCCAGCTGCAGTAGCAAAACCCTTGCCAGCAAGTTGTGTTGTAACCTTAATCATTCCTTCTCTGTACTGTGGTTTCATCTTGCCTGTTTCCAGGGTGCAGATAGCCACAGGGGCTTGAGCTGTCATTTCTTACCAGTTCGTAATCAAGAGCATTTATTGAACCAGGCAATGGAAATGCGTCAGTGCTCCCTCTGTTGTCCCCATTAACCTTTAGCACACCCATTCCTTGCTTCCCACATGAAACTGTGAAGTATCATCAATTTGATTAACATTGCTCTGACTTCAGAAAGAATCCAAGTTGGGGAAAATCCAGTAACCTGGTTCTAACACTGTTCAGGTCTACTTGCTGCAGTACTTTGTAAATGAAGTTTGAGCTTCAAAACTTTCACTACACAGCCAGATCAGGGGAGGGTGAGTACTAAATGAGCACTAGCTATCCTTATGGCAGGGTCCCTACTTTCTCCTGAAGGATTTGCTTTCAATACAGCCATTTTGTCAAATCTGGCAGCTGGTTTTCACGTTGATCATTCATAACGAGGCCTCTTAAAAGCTCCTTCCTAAGAGTTTTGTCAAAGGCCACGTGCTACCTGGTATTCTGTATTTTAACCATGTTATTATAGGCAGTGATTACTTGAAAATAGTTAAGCTATGTTCTGTGAAATAGAGTGGTGATTTCTTTTTATGGCTACCATTCTGCTTACTTCATTGTGTAATAAATCTTTGACAAAATGTGCTAAGAAATGTGATGAAAAAAATGTTCTTCTTTGTTTCTCAATTTAGGTAACAAACAAGATATAGCAAGTCACAATAAAAATAGAAATTAAGAGAACCAACCCTCAAAATA